GTGATGAAAATCTAATTAAAACAGAAGTTGGTTTACTGAGGAGGAGGGTCCTTGCTGTGACTAATCTCACCATGGGACTCAGAAGCCTTTGGAGTTTGTTTGCAGGAAGAATTTTGGAAAGATTATAGAGATGCAGATTTTTGTAAGTGGGGCTTGGTGGGTGACTTTGGTGGGAGCTCAGAAGATCAGAATGCTTCTAGGAATATAGACTGTGCTCATGAGGTTTCAGAAGAAAATGAGAACTCTGTTGGGAATTGAATTAAAGATTACTTGTGTTCGTTTTCTTATTGTTTAATTTTTTGAGTTCTTTGTATACTCTGGATATTAGGGCTCTATCTGAAGTGTGAGGACTAAAGATTTGTTCCCAGGATGTAGGCTCCCTATTTACCTCTCTTATTGTTTCTTTTGCTGAGAAAAAACTTTTTAGTTTGAGTAAGTCCCATTTGTTGATTCTAGTTATTAACTCTTGTGCTATGGGTATCCTATTGAGGAATTTGGAGCCCGACCCCACAGTATGTAGATCGTAGCCAACTTTTTCTTGTATCAGACGCCGTGTCTCTGATTTGATATCAAGCTCCTTGATCCATTTTGAGTTAACTTTTGTGCATGGGGAGAGAAAGGGATTCAGTTTCATTTTGTTGCATATGGATTTCCAGTTTTCCCAGCACCATTTGTTGAAGATGCTATCCTTCCTCCATTTCATGCTTTTAGCCCCTTTATCAAATATAAGATAGTTGTAGTTTTGTGGATTGGTTTCTGTGTCCTCTATTCTGTACCATTGGTCCACCCGCCTGTTTTGGTACCAGTACCATGCTGTTTTTGTTACTATTGCTCTGTAGTATAGTTTGAGGTCTGGTATCGCTATACCGCCTGATTCACACTTCCTGCTTAGAGTTGTTTTTGCTATTCTGGGTCTTTTATTTTTCCATATGAATTTCATAATTGCTTTATCTATTTCTACAAGAAATGCCGTTGGGATTTTGATTGGCATTGCATTTCCCTAAAGACCTAAAAAGAGCATGCTACAGGGACACTGCTACATCGATGTTCATAGCAGCACAATTCACAATAGCAAGACTGTGGAACCAACCTAGATGCCCTTCAATAGACGAATGGATAAAAAAAATGTGGCAGTTATACACAATGGAATATTACTCTGCATTAAAAAATGACAAAATCATAGAATTTGCAGGGAAATGGATGGCATTAGAACAGATTATGCTAAGTGAAGCTAGCCAATCCCTAAAAAACAAATGCCAAATGTTTTCTTTGATATAAGGAAAGTAACTAAGAACAGAGTTGGGAGGAAGAGCATGAGAAGAAGATTAACATTAAACAGGGGTGAGAGGTGGGAGGGAAAAGGAAAGAAAAGGGAAATTGCATGGAAATGGAAGCAGACCCTCATGGTTATACAAAATTACATACAAGAGGAAGTGAGGGGAAAAGGGGAAAAAAACAAGGGGGAGAAATGAATTACAGTAGATGGGGTAGTGAGAGAAGATGGGAGGGGAGGGGATGGGGGATAGTAGAGGATAGGAAAGGCAGCAGAATACAACAGACACTAGTATAGCAATATGTAAAACAGTGGATGTGTAACTGATGTGATTCTGCAATCTGTATACGGGGTAAATATGGGAGTTCATAACCCACTTGAATCAAAGTGTGAAATATGATTTGTTAAGAACTATGTAATGTTTTGAACAACCAACAATAAAAATTTTAAAAAAAGAAAAAAAAAAGATTACTTGTGTTATCTTCTGGCAAATAAACTGGACTACATTTTCCCTATGTTTGGAGACTTTGTATGAATCTTAATTTTAAAATGATGGACTAATTAATCTGGGGGAGGAAATTTCAAGGCAGCACCACATTCACTCAGTGGCATGGATGTTGTTGGCAGCTTTTAGCCAGGTTTCATGTGAGAATTAGGAGCAAGAGATAGAGATAAAAGGATTTTACAATTTGCAATTTGGCCAGAAGAGTGGATGTAAAGCTGGGGCCACTGAAGGTGTGTTTAAAGAGATTATAGTTCCTAAAGAGATGCTAAGTACTTTGTATAGAGACAATTGGAAAGCCAACTCAAGGGCACCTTTTTAAGGAATTTGCAGGACCATACCTACTTCAGGTTCCAGGATGTAGAAGGAAAAATTATTTTGAGAAGAGATTGTGGGGGTGCCCTTCTTGCATAGAGGGTCCTAGGAAGTTGTTCATACTGAGCCACACACTCAGAAGAAACTACAGACATGATTCCCAGGGGCCCAGGCATTGTGTGAGCTGGCAGCAAACTTTGTCATCATTCACATGATATTGGTTCTGCAGGAATGCAGGATGCTCAAGTTAAGGGATCATGGAAGCTTCCACTGAGATTTCAAAGGGAGGGGAAGTCAGCCAAAGTGTAGTTAGGTGGAGTCCTTTTAGGCTGCCCCCGGGAGGGTGATTTGTGAAGTTGCAAAGGTAAAGCCGAAGCTGGAATGGAGACACCAGTAATTAAGAAATGCTACTATTGTGGACCATGGACTATTTGCTGAAAGAAGCTGCTGGCTGCAGAGAGACTCAGACTAAAAGAGAGTCCCTTCACTCTGCAACCAGCAAGGCCAAAGGGGTGGGCTGTCAAAGCCCTTTGGAAATAACACCTCACAGCCAAGTATCCTAGACGCTTACAAGGAATTAAGGGACCTGTTTGCCTGACTGGGTTTAGGTCTTTCCTCAGCCCCATCCCTTCTTTCTATGCCCCTATTTCTCCCATTTGGAATGGGAATTTTTGTGTCACTGTATATTGGATATGTGTAACTTGTTTTTGGTTTTCAAGGGGTTCAAGGTCAAGAGTTTTTATTGTCTCTCAGAAGAGACTTTGGGCTTGGACTTTTGGGCAAGGCTGGAACTGTGAAGACTATGGGACTCATGGAGAGGGACTAAATGCGTTTTGCATTGTGAGAGGGATACAGACTTTGAGACCCAGGGATGCAGGGTTATGGTTTAGATATGAGGTGTCCCCTAAAACTCTTGCATGATACATTAATGATTGGTTTGTGAGAATTATAACCTTATCTAACTGGATGGTAACTGTAGGCAGGTGAGGTATGGCTAGAGGAAGTGGGTCACTGGGATGTTCCTTGGAAAGGTGACTCTTCCCTGTGTCCTCTCCCTTCTTCCCCCTCTCTCTGCTTCCTGACGCTGCCATGAGATGAGTAGCTCTCCTTCTTGGGGCTCTTCCCTTATGATGTGTTACCTCATCTTGGGTCCAGAACAATATGGTTGGCTATAGACTGAGACCTCTGAAACTGTGTGTCCCAAATAAACTTCCCCTCCTCTAAATTGTTCTTTGGTTACAATGATGAAAAGCTAACTAAAGCACCACTCCCAAGTAGAGAGATTCGAGTGGAAACAAACATTGCAGCGTCCTTGCAAAGGAATCTAGAGATACCTACGGGTGATTTAAACAAAGTGAGCTAATTCCTGGGAATTGATCTCATGCAAAGAATGCTGCCCATTGAAGGTTACTTACTGCAGCACTGATCATCAAGGCAAACACCCACGACAAAGAGAATGCCCATTTAGCAGGGAATGGTTGAATAAATCATGCTATATCCCCACCCCGGCAACCATTGAAACGAATAGCTATATCATTAATTTGAAGGTATTTCTATGATATATTGAGTAAGAAATGCAACATGTAGAAAAATGGGTATATAGATTGAGTATCCCTTATTCAAAATATTTGGAACCAGAAATGTTTCAGATTTTATTTTAAAAAAGATTTTGGAATATTTGCATACAGATAATATCTTGGGAATGTGACTCAAGTCTAAATATGAAATTAATTTGTGTTTCATACATACCTCATACTCATAGCCTGAAGGTAATTCTATACAACACTGTTAGTGTGCCTGAGGTTTTTTTTCTTTTGTTTGTTTTTTCACCCTTGTTTTGTCTGCAACCCATCACATGAAGACAGGTGGGAATGTTCTACTTGTGGCATTTTATCAGTGTTCATAAAGTTTCAGATTTTGAAGCACACTGGATTTCAGACAAGGGATGCTCAATCTGTAATGCCATCACATTTTTAAAAGCTCATAAAATACATATGTGTGTATGTGTGTTGATATGTGTGTGTGTGTGTATGTGTATATATATATATATATATATACATATATATATACATACATACATAAATATATATGATTATATTCACAGAAGAAAAATTTGGAGAAGAAAATACCAGAGTGAACCATCTACAGTGGATCGGGGCTCAACACACACTCTGCCTTCCTGATAACATGTCTCCTATAGCCCAGATGATGGAAAGCTGACAATATGCTCAGATGTCCCTGCTGGTGACAGATGCACTGTGTGAGACAAGGCAGGAGAAAGCACAGGAGGGGCCACACCTGGATGGCCTTGGCAGAGTCTACAGAAATGCCTTCCTTTCCCTCATCTTTACATAACTGAGTTCCCCATGTCCGGTCACTTGCTTCCTGGCACTGGAGAGGCAGGACACAGGGCTCCATGTTGCCAGCATAGCATGGCTCTCCATCCAACCTGTTGCAGTAGAAGCCAATCCCTGGGTCCTGCCCAGTTTTGGGGGTGTGAGCCTGGAGCCAGAAGGTGGCAGCAGTGCTAAGTGAGGTTTGGGGCTCATCCTGGAGGCACAGCCTGGAGCTCGCTTATGCCCCCGCCTTTCTAATGATCTCATAAGCGCTCGCTTCCCTGAGCCAAATGCCAGTCAGCTTAAAATAGCTTTATTCTTGCTTTCTGAAATCAAGACTGTGATTCAAAGGGTTACTAGACAGGGGGAAGACGGGAGGCGGTTGAGGATTTCAACATATGAACATATGAAAGCACCTTGAAAACAAGAGCATTATTATTAATTTTAAATGCCCTTTAAGACTCATCTGTCATCTCACTTAAATAACTGATGTACACAGGGACTTTCAAAAGCCTTTTCACGAAAGCAGAAAGGGCACTCTGCCATGGAGCCTCTCCAGGACAGAAAGTCTTACCAGCAGGTGCAGAAGTAGACTTCGGCGCTGGAAGTAAACTCCTGCGGGGTGTTGTCACACTGGAGGATGCCGGAGGGGTCACTCGGCTGGCCCCCTTGGGTGTGTCCTTAGAAGGCAGAGCTGCCTTCAGAGCTGGCTGTTCTTCATTCCCAAAGGTTGAACCTGTGGGAGGCAGGGAGGCAGACAGTGTGTTAATTATAACTTCATGAAAAATGGATGACCCCCTTGCCTTTGGCACGTGCCAGCCAATCCTAAGCCTGCCATCTGCTGTAGAACTTGACCTCATTCTAAGTGAGTGGCCTTGAAAAGTATTTCTCTGGAACAGATATAGAAAAGGACTCCCTTTAGCTACTGCTTAAATGTCTGTCACTCAAATCCCCTGCACCAAAGGGGGCTCCACAAAAGCCAAGAGCTGCCTCTCTTCTTTGAAGAGAAGTTGCTTGTGTACGTGGAGATAAGCATTGACAGGATGACTCACAGAAGGATGAGCATCCCCTTTTTGAAACAAGTGTGAGTGACCCAGGAGAAGTGAGAATAAAAAGACAGTTGTCCCTTGACATCAGCGGGGGATTGGTTCTAGGACCCCTGGGGATTTCAAAACCCGGAGATGCTCAAGTTCCTTATGTAAAATGGTGTGGCATTTATGTAGAACCTACACATATCCTGACATATAAAAATCATTACCCAATGACTTAATGTCTCCAATAAAATGCAAATGCTGTGTATATCATTGTTACGTTGCATGGTTTAGGGAATAAGGATTAAAAAAAAAAAGCCTGGCCATGTTGAGCACAGATGTGACTTTTTCCTAAATACTTTTGATCCATAGTTGGTTAGACCTGCTGACGTGGATAGAGATTGACTATATATACTTGCCCTATTCACCCAGGAAGTTTGTTCAGAGACCCCCAAATTCCTGCTCATTTTGCCTCTAGAACAGGAGGTGTGGGATGAAGGTGGACGATGGTAGCACAAAACCAAGGAATCCCTTTGAAACTCATGGAAGTTATTTGTCTGAAAAGCTGAGGCCTCACCAAGCTGGCCTTCCCAGCAACCTCATTTATTTCAAAGGGAGAAGACATCTATAGATAACTGGATTGGTATTCAGTATAGAGATAGTCTTCCTCTATAGGAAGCTTATTATAATCCTAAAGACCTAGCACGAGATGTGTGGTCCAGATTTAAATATGAAAAGTTGTTGTGGACCAGACTTTATTTCTAGATCTTCTCAAAACTTTTGTGGTCTATATACTTGCAGTTTCTTATCAATGATGCCACCATCAATTCCCTGTTAAAACGTAATCTTTTAAAAATTTCTCTGAGTATAGCTATGAGGTCTAATCTCTAATCTCTTCATGTAGAGAGCCTTAGTATACTGAGGCTACTGCTTGTTTGGAACAAACCTGTCCATTCATAGGACCATGACCATCTACCATGAAAAAAATTAAGCAATGACAGCTGGGAGAAGCACACAGCATTGGAGTGAAAGATTGTTTGTTTTTATCATTTTAAAAGGAGAGTCAGAACATTCTATTTAGATAGGACCTGAACAAAATTGATAGCAATATTAAGATGGCTTTAGTGTTTATAACATACTAGAGTTTCATTCGATAATTTAAAGTAAGAGATTGTTGCTTTTCTCCCTCGGAAGAACTGTTTAAAATTGGTGAGATTTGTGTTGTTTCTAAAAAAAGCATATCCGGAAAGGAAAAATAAAGAATGTGTTACTTCTTAAAACAGAACTTATGTACTGTAGTTCTTTTAAGTTCCGTGCAAGGATTTCAATGCTTCTAAATGTGGCTAAGAAAATGCATTTGACCTCTGCAAGCTGAAAAAATGCACTGAAACCCCACTGAAAGGATTTGCATTGTCCTGGGTGTCAGAAATGAAGCATGCACCTGTTTGCTTCAAACCCAATCAGGAAAAGCAACACCTTCAACTTGCAAAATAGTAAGTCTTATGAGTCTCAATTATCATGCAGGCTTACCAGCCCAGTGCCAGAATCCAGAGAATCTGATTTGTGTGATATTTCAGGTGGGGGTGGGGCTCACCCCCTAGAAATATTCCACATGGGATTATCTGATGTCCAGCCCACTGCTGACATACTGCCAGAATAATCTATTCACTGAAATATGTAGGAGAAGCTTAATCAAGCTCAAACTGTTCACACAGTCTTTTATTTAACAATTTATTAAAATTTCTTAAAAAGAGAAATATTTCATATCATTTGCAGAGTTCAAATGTCCTTTGATCAAGTCCTCTTGCATCTGGCTTCATTTTCTTATATGCAATTTATCATTCAGTGAACGTATCAATTTAGAGATTTGGCTTCTTTCCAGGCTGGGAAGAATTCATCTGGGAAGTGTGTGTTTCTGGGAAGCTATGTACTCCGCTCTCAGGACTTGAAAATACCCAAAACTAAAATACAATAAAGAACTATAAAAACTTTTATTTTGTCCATCACTGTGGGACGCAGCCGGCAATAAACAGATCCACTCTTCAAAAACCAGCTTCAGCTGGCCAGAAATTAAAGCTGCATTATTCAGTAAACGAAAAGCATTCTGAAATTGGAAATGGTTGGTGAATTCTATAAATGTTTCAAGTAGTTCATGACAATGCTGACAACATTAAACTATTCCTTGTTAAGAGGAAGAAAACAACTGGAAATAAGCAAACTGCTTGTGTGAGTCAGAAAAGTGTGCTGGAGAATCGAGACAGCGGCAGTGGTTCATATGGCGAATTCAGTCACCTCATTTCTGGCCAACACTAATCGACTCTAGCCTGAAATTCCCAGGCAATTTATCTACCCTTCCACTTGGTCACAGGGCAGCAGACATCAGCAAGGTGAAATCATGGGAGCAAGCTGACCAGGATGTGAACATCTCCTCTACCTACCACCTCCCTGTACCTCAGTGTCTTCATTCCTAAGTGGGGATCATAGCAACCTACTTCATAGAGCTGTTGTGAGAATGGAAAGAGCTAAAGCAAGGGACTTTTTAAAAAAAGGTTGATGCAACAGTTAATTCAAGAAAATGGTGTCTGGTGTATCGTATGCTCTATATGTTTGTTTATTGCATCCTAATTTTAAGTTTTTCAGATAGTTATTTGATAAATCAGTTTCAATGGAACTTAGAAAGTCTTCAAGGATTGATATAAAGTAGGTTGCTCTAAGTGAGAAGAAAGGAAAGGACTGAGGAAAATCTAACCACACCTTTTGGATGAAGGACTAAAGAGAAGAGCAAGATTATCTTAAAAATATGATGAGCTATTTCAGACATAGAAAGAGGTGAGAATAACAACGCAATGGATTACCGAGATTAAGAAGAACAAAACATCACCAATCCCACAGCCAGTGAAATTGCTTAGACCAAAGGAAGTTGTTCAGCTCTCCGTGATATTCAAAACTGCTTTCCAAGTTGCTTGGTGGGACTCACATTTTGTACAGGTAACTAATGTAGCATCACTGGACTTTAATGCTGGCAGTCAGGTAAACATGATACTAATTTGTTCAAGTTAACATGCTTTTACATCTTTGACAGTAATGGCATTAAGATTTTTTTTCATATAGTTATTGGACATGTAAGCTTTTTATTCCCTAAGATGCTCACTAATAATTTTTTGCCCATTTTCTGCTGGGGTTTTCTGCCTGAAATCTTCAAATATTCTGTATATTAATCTTTTATTGGATATGCATTTCAAATACTTTTTCTATCTGTGGCTTGTTTTCATGTTTACAGTGCCTTAATTGAGAATTTTCTCATCTTAGTGCTACTGATTTTTATCAGACTTTTCTGCTGTACTTTGTGTGTCTCTATGCCGACACCATAAAGATATTCTCCTATGCATTCTTCTAAAACATTTATGTTTTACAATTAGATCATTAGTCCACCTGGAATGGGGCATAGCACAGGGACTGAACTTGTAGATGGTTTCTGCATAGGTAGAAAACTGCCTTGTACATAGTCCATCATCTTCTCAGCAATATCTGCTATAGCCAGATCTTGTATGCCAAGTCTTCATTCAGGCATCATGTATTAGTGTAGGCCAACAAATGACTCAGAAGTCTCAGTAACTTAAAACAATGTTTATTTTGGGATCATGAATCACCTAACACAGGTACTCCAGATGGGTCTGCTGTCCTGGGGAGCTGTCCTCCAGGTTAGGACCCCAGCTCCTTCCACATTGTATTCTTGCCCTACTCTAGGGTTTTCAAAAGAACTTAACATTCAGATGGTAGATGGAGGGAACATACATTGTTCACAGGAGGATTTTATGGGCCCTACCTGAGAGAGGTACATCATTTATGCCTTTAGCCCATTGACTGGGATTCAGTTACAGGAGATCAGTAAGAGAAGCTGGTAAATGTAGTTTAGTTTGTGTCCAAGAGAAAAGGGAAATGTTTTGATGAACGCATATCTCTGCCATATTAGGCCCCATTTCTGAGCTCTCTGTTTTGTTTCATTGATCTATTTGTCTATCGCTATGCCAATGCCATTCTGAATTTATTTACTCTAGTGTAAGATACAAAACAAATGACCCAGCTTTGATCTTTTCCCCTTTAAAACTACCTTGGCTTCCCTTGGCTCTTTATTACTGCATATAGATTCCAGAATATGCTTGTCAAGTTCCATGAAAAAAAAATGGTCAAATTTCAATGAACACAGTTAAGCCTCCCCCCTCCAACTGCAAACTAATGGAAGTACAAGCATAGATATAACTAAGACCAGCAAAATGCTGAAATTAATTATACCCTAGGCACAAAGTTAGATAATGAAGATAAAATGAGGCTAAGAACATAACATAAACAGCAAAACAGGCAGTTCTAAGAGGGGCAGCACTCCATCATAGCTGATCAGACTTATAAAGATTGAAGGAATACTGGCATTTTTATGAATGGGGCTGTCAATACCTCTGTCAGAAAACGTGAAAATATGAGAGACCAAGGAGAACAGAAGTCAATAAATGGTAACTGGGAAGTGTGAGGTAGGGAGAAAAGACAACTTTTTCAACAAACAATCACATGTCATTAAAGGAATTTCTGTATACTATCAACTATTGAGCTGGTTAGTTGGCAGGTCATTCTTCTTATTCCCTTGTTTTCTCCATACAAACAATACTCCCCACATTTCTTACACTATCACCCCAAAATGTAAAGGTATTCC